TATTAATTCGCCTCATTTTTTTATCGCTATTCGTATAATGATAGATTCACCTTTGGGTAAATTTTTAAGTTCTAGTAATAGTGAAAGTCAATTTATGTAAATAAATATTTCAATATAGGCATTTAATTAACCTTCATAGATAAATGACAATTTTATGAGTGAATATTTTTCTTAACCATACTAGTTTGACCATTTTGGTAACTAACAAATTATATGAATACAAATGCATACATAATCTCATAAAATGTTGTGCATGTGAATAATTTTCGATCAAAAACATTATATGTGTAGAATCCAATTTTTCTAGTTTAACCACTTTGGTGACTAACAAACTGTATAAGTACAAAGCACGCATAACATCATAAAATTTTGTGCATGCCAATAATTTTAGTACCACTTTGGTGACTAACAAACTATAGAAACATAATACATGCATCAAGTTGAAAAACCAGACTCGGTCTCTTTTGAAATACTGAATATGCCAACAAATAATGAATGTTAGTAATTACATATGTTAATTGATCATTAATATTATGTGTAAACATTAGTATCTCTAGTTTGGTCATTTAAGTGACTAACAACTATATTGCACTAAGTACAAATATATTATTTGTTACATGGTATAACGACCACTTTAATTTATTGCACAATTTAAAAAAAAACATAATTATTACATTATGGGAAGATTAAAATTTCTCAGAAGTTATGAAATCTAAAATAAAAAATAATTGTTTATTTATTTAGGGGTGGTGGGCGGTGTTTACTCTTTATTACCCTACCAAGGCTAATGAGGTTATATAATTTATGAAGATTATCTGTTCAAGCCATTAAGGCTCTTATGTCACATGTAAGATTAAATTCTTTTATACTAATATCAGGATCTTGAACATGATAATCTTATATAGATATTGTTAGGGGCAGACATCATCACTGAGAAAAACGGAAACATTAGTTGTAAATTAGTTTCTACCTCTTCGCCGTAACTTTATGTTACCACAATCGTCAGTGATGGAATTATTGTAGATAATATGTGGTAACCCTAATTGGTGGAGGGAGGACCAATTTATAGAGGTTATAACTTAATCTGGTACGTCCATTAAGTAAACAATGTACGGGCACGATCTATTCCTTATTAAATATTATTTATGGTATTAATTGGGTTACAAGTAAACTTGTCCCATAAGTAAATAATAATAATAATAATAATAATAATAATAATTCTTACACCTTTGGCCTACTACCTTGATATAGCACTCATAGTGATGTGCTAACAGTAATACTCAATAAGATCACCTATTTAAAACCTTATTTTCCATACAACTCATCAATGAACAACTTAAGATGACAAAAGTATCATTTTAGTACATACATCTTCGACTTAGTTTTGTCACCTTAAAATAAGAGGTGTTACGTTCACTTACTGAGATTCGGAGTGTTATGGGGTTGGTAGGTTATTGTGAGCGCTTTATGAAAATTAATCTATCTCTTATGTATTCATGGATAAGTTGAATTAGAAGAATGTGGTGTTCCATTGGTTATATGATTGAGAGACGAGCTTTTATAACTCAATACTTGTTGAATTTGGCTTAAATATTGACATTACACGTGAAGGGTGAGGGTTTTACTGTTGTTTATTGTGATGCTTCTCATATAAGCCTTATTGTGTATGGATGTATAGAGGCAAAGTTATAACTTATACCACATAAAAAGAACTAAGCCTTAAATGAATGTGAGTTGACAATGATATTGTTCACGTTTAATATTGGAGGCACTACCTCTACGGTGTACATAGTAAGGCTTAAATTGATCATTGCAATCTTCAGTATATTTTTAATTGTAAAGATCTCAATTTGGGGCAGTGGATATTATTGGAGTTGCTTAAAGACTATAATTTGATTATTTTTTATCATCTGAACAAAAATAATGTGATAATTGTTGTTTTGAGTCATAAGATAGTTTATATGTAGCTTGGATATGTTGGAGGTGGAGAAACGCTCCTTGACTATAAATGTTTATTCCTTGATCAATCATTTCATGAGGCTTGATATATCAGATCCTGATTGAATTCTTGATTATACTAAAGATCTATTACTTTTGAATGAATAAATTAAGATTCAATAGCTCGAAGTTGAGAAATGTTATATGCTTTGATACAAAGTGTTGAAAGTAGAGATAAATGAATCAATTCTTGACGATAAAGGCATTTTTGAGGATCAAGAGTCATATTTATGTATCAAAGATAAATGATTTGACTAAGCTGATATAGAAAAAGGCTCATAGTCGGACGTACTTTATTCACGTGGGGCAACAAAAATGTTTCATGATTAGAGGCAATATTATTGGTGGTGTAAGATGAAGAGAGAAATCATGAATTAAATATGGATCAACGCTTAAATTGTAATCAAGAGAACTAAGAGCATAAAAATCAGATACTATGACTTAGATGATGTCTATACATGAGTGGACTTGGAAATAAATCGCTATGAACTTTTTGATATGATTTTCACGAACTTTAACAAAATTTGATAGTGTTTAGGTCATTATGGATAAATTAACCAAATTTTCATTTCATATGGTTCTACATTTTAGTGAGATTGACAAAGATCTACATTAAGAGATATTTCATTTGCATGAGGTTTCTATTTCTATCATTTCAATTGAGATACTCAATTCACATCTCATTTCCCGAGTCTCTACATAAGGTTTTGGGTACTCGAGTAGAGCTCAATGCAACTTTTCACCTATAATCAAATGGTTAACTCGAACATACTATTCACATCCGTAAGGATATGCTACGAATTTATGTGATTGACTTTTAGATCATTGAAATCATTCTTACTATTTCATAGTTTGATTATAATAACAATTATCATTGTACCCTACAAATAACTCCATTTAAGATTTCTTTTCTTTAGTTTGGTTCTATTTTGGTACTGTTGTTGAACACTCCTGCTCGTATGCAACAGTTAAGCAAAATAATTGTTGAATATTCACATTTTCTATCTTGGCTTGATTGGCCACTCTACCTCGACTGCCTACTTGCTTTTCTCTTGTATCATTTTCCGACAAGATCTGTCATAATATTTTTCCTTGCAAAATCATTTTGTAAGTTCTTCATTTTTCTCCTTCTCTTCAAGTTTTCTCATTTGATTCTAATTCATTTTACTACTACTTTAGTAAAGAAATGCATATCTATGATAGAACCCACTTGAGAATGCATATTTATGATAGTCAACTTGACGAAGTTTGGTTGAATCAATGTTTCAAATTGATTTATATTGCAGCACATGTTGGGATTTGTTAGAACCCACCTGAGATATGATGGTTGATTGATAAAGAGTTATCATTTGTGTAGATCTAGCATACCCATTCACAATCAAACTAATTTATCAATTCAATTAACCTATATTGTAAAATTAGCATCCATATGCGCACATTCCTAAGATTCCTCTCTTATTCTTGAAATATTCGTTGTGTTAATCTTGCTACTATTAATTGTTAAAATCTTGTTAACCAAATTCGAATTGTTAATCAACCCTATTTATATTCATGCATAAATTGGCTAGACATATAAAATACTAGTGATTGGATCACATCATAAGGTGAATTACTATGACTATACTCTACAGGATCCACTCGAGCTCCTTGTTGGGTTATATACTGCGAACAATCGGCTATACATCGATTTGTAACGACTTTTATTCTTCTTGGCATCTATTATTTTGGAACAAATCTTTTTAGTTCTTAAAAAGAAACAATTCGAGAAAGTTTAATTAATTGAAATAAATTTCTAGATTCGCAGATTTATCGATATCAAATACGTAAAAAGAATCAAATTCTTGTTGGCGATTATCTATATAAAAAATGAAATTATAAAAACTTCTTTGTCTTTTTTATACTGTTCTTCAAAATCTACATTACATACTCTTTTTCTATGAGATGCTCTAAATCCCTTGTACCACATAATAAGTAGATTTTGAAGAAAAGTATTTGGCTTTCATTTATTTTGATTTAGATTTTTTTAACTGGAGTAATGTAACTATGTTACTATTGCCAGATTTTACTGCCATAAAACGTGTCAATAGTTTGAACATTATAAAAAATTAGTCTTTTACAAATACATTCATAGCACACAATTTAGGGGGACACACCAGAACTGGTGATCTTAAACCAAAATTTAGAAAAGAGAGTTGCGTTTATTTATTTTATTTTTTAAGAAATTAATTTCTTAAATTTTAAAAATATATTGTCATTGATTATAATTTAATAATTATTTTGTCCTTTTCAATTGACAATATACCATTTCTTGTAATAGTTTGTCTAGAGAACTAATTCGTGATTTGATAGGGCTACACTATGATTTTTGGAGTCTATTTAAGGAAAGAGTTTTTTAACCCAACCAGAATAAGACTGCCAATTTTTGGGACTTAGAAAATATGGATAGGACTGCCCCGTGGGACAAATAAAAATTAACTAAAAAATAAAAATAAAATAGAGTATTAAAAATAACAAGAGTCTAAACTCAAAATCTGTTTAAAGTTTGAAATATCACAATTTAAATACAAATTATGTTTATAAAACATGTACTACGTAAAATTAAAATTCCCTAAAATTCCTAGGGAATCACTGCAGAAATAAGCTATTTCCGACTACGACTGTTGACTACAAATGTGTAGTCGGTATATTAGTTGTTATTCCGTATACTGTAATCGGGAAATTAAGATTTATATTTTTCTAATTTTTAATAATTTTACTCGACCATTATATTGACTATTAAGTTCGTAAAATTTTGTGAAATGAAGTTAAAAAAATAATTGACCAGTTACCGGTTAGTAGTCAAAAACTTATTTAATAATTTTTAAAATATTATAAATGGTGACTACTATAGTCGGCCCTTTAATAATATTTTTAGTTTAAAATTAATTTATTTTTCGACTAATATAATAGTTATTATTTTAAAATCACTAGCTAACTCTTTTATTAGAAAAAAATTTCTTTTTTATTAAATCTGTTTGGGTTCTTAGCAAAGGTTACTGCGGTCGTCTTATAGAGGTTCCTAACTTTGACTATTTGATTTGGCTTAGCATTGAACAACATTTTCATCAGAGAGGTTACTGTCGTCATCTTAGAGAGGTACGGTAATCGATTGTTTGCTAATTGTCGTCTTTGGGGTTTTAATTTCAATAATTTTGACATCGTCTTAGAGAGGTACTGTAAATTTCTTATTTCTAGGTTTAGCAACTTGCTCACCTTCATGATTAATTGTTTTCTGCTTGTGTTAAAGTTCAAATCGTGACATTACTGGAATTATTTTTGTTAGAATCTCACTATAATTAGCTTGTTTGATTCGATTTGGGGAAATATTCATGTGATTGATTATTCCTCCCTCGATTGAGGGATAATCAATGGAGGAATGAAAATCAAAGAAAGAAAAAATCCTTGGAGTTCAAAAACTTCTCTACTCGACTCCTCTCATTTCGTATCATATTTAAAGCTTTCATGTTTTCTTTTGGTTCTAGATATTACTGTTCACGGGTTGTGATCTTGACGACTACCATCAAGCATCAACATGTAAAGGGTTAAGGAAGCTAACAATATCAAAAAAACTCAATGTACAGAGGATGTGTTTAATCTTTACTGCTCGTCTTACTTTTGTGTTCGATTTTCTTGTTTTGCTTTAGTTTTCTGTCCAAATTAATAGCTATAGTTTCTTGTTGTTATATGCCAAAAAAAAATTATTTCTTGTTGTTATTGCGAATTTAGATTTAGTGTTCTAAAACTCGATGCTGTAGATATTTTGGTACCATATTTAGTCTGCTTTCTTTATAGTTTGCAATATTAGGGTTGAGCATTCAGTATCTATAAAATGATTTTTAGGAGCAAATAAAAATTAAAATGAGGATAATCAATTATGCAACATTGCAATGCATGACCATGTTGCTTGCTGCTGGCAACATTGCAGCTGTGCGGGTCTGCAGCATTGCAAAGCATGGTTGCTGGTGGCGTTGCAGTTGTGCAGGTCTGCAGCATTTGCAAAGCATGGATGCTAGTTGCTACTGCTGGTGGTGGCTGGAAGCTCTGCAACATTGTAAACTTCAAAGCCACCTGGTGGCTATGGCTTGACCCAATCTAGCCTGCTAGCTTGGCCCAACAATAATAATAGCAGGCAACAACCAAAAATTACAATAAGAATTCAACACTTGATTCCAAGCAAACATAAATAATTTGTCATCTTCACAAATTGCCAGTATACATATGATCTTTTACTGTTTGCATCTTCTTGTTGATGATGGTGTCAACATTCTAATTGGTCTGACTCTTTCCCTTCTTAGGTTTCTAGACCATACAAGCCACCAGAATTTGAAATTATGTTTGGAGAAAGAGTTAGCAAACTGGTTTGTGGAATTCTTATCTTTTTTTTCCGTAATGTTCTGCTCAAAATATGTTCCGATAATTGACTTTTTGCAGGGTTGTGTATTAAAATTGTGTTGAACTGGTTTAGGTGGTGGCTAATAAAGGTTCATGATATAACTACAGAGAGAATAGGTTAGTATATTTTGTAGTTTTCGCTATAATATAGAGACTTTCTTAGAAGCTTACTAAACTTTTAATTTATAAAACTTCATATCTCAACGGAAATATTTGCATACTTTTGTCATGACCACTAAAAATTCTGGAAATTTTCCACATGTTGTACCAGAAGTGTTAGAGCTTATACTCAAATGAAAAGAAAACAACTTAGGAGAATTGATAGATTTCATATGTCATGTGGTTGGTGAAGGAAATAATTTAAAGTAGTAAGAATAAGCAAGAAATTAACTTTCAATGTGATTGAAAATTGTCTAAGTAACTGATTATTGTTGCAGAAGCTAATATTAATCAAAGATTTGTTTTATACTTCAGTGGTCTGAGTCTTGCAATGTTCATTATTAATAGATGTGACTAAGCACTGTTTTTGATGTTTTACTATATTACTTATCTTGTGTGAGTCAGTCATTGATTCTTGATACTTTTAATGAAGGTTGAGACTGGAACCAGAGAAAGCATTGCAATATTTTGAGAGAAAATCCTCTTCTCTGAAAAAATTGAAAACAATTGATATTATTTCAATATGGACATCTATATGGACATCTGAGTCCTACTACTTCTGGGATGGTTCCACAACCCAGCTAACATATGATGATATTACTTCAATATTGAAAAATGTGATAGGAGGTGCGAAGAAAGAAAGAGTTTACGAGCTTGGAGTACAACCTTTGTCATGTAACCCATCGTCGTTGTTGTTTGGTGTCTACTTCTCAAACTTTAACAGAAATGGAAGTAATGCGAATAGAGATTTCAAAGCTAATAGAACGACTTCAAAGATCTAAAGCTAATTATGCTAAAGTGCAAAAGTTCAAGGAGAAACATATGGCTCGGATGGTGATGAAGAGACCGAAGCTGATAAAGTTTAGATTATGTTCCGGTTTATTAGACATTTACTATGACATTTTAGACTTGTTTGAAACTATTTACTTCCATTTCGAACAAAAATGTATACTTATTAGACTTGATTTTGATGGAGCTTGAACTTTCAGACTAAAGTGGAATTTGAATGTTTAGGAATGTGTTAGATATTTGGTTTTATTGTCATGTTACATTTTTATGGATGGAGGTATAATTTAGCAGGTGGTATACCAAAATGAACAATATTTTTCTATATATTAAAATATAACTTTCTTATAGTATTTTGTTTATATAATTTCGACTACAATAGTCGGAAGATCACCTAAAAAGTTGATATAGTAATTATTTCTATCGACTGTAGAAGTCGAAAAGTACTTACATGATTAATAAATGGCAACCACAGTAATCAAAAAATGTTTAATTAATTATTTAATTATTTAGCTACTACGGCTACCGTAGTAGATATTATTAAATTAATAAATTATTATTTAACAAATATTCCAACTACAAAGTAGGTAGTATTTAAAATAATAAAATATTATTTTACTAGCTTTCCGACTATAATAGTCAGCAGTTCGTGTACTTTAATGATCGGGTTTTAATTTATGTATTGTGACTACGATAGTCGTCGAATTCCGACTGTTGTAGTTGGCAAGTATTTTTCAAAGCTCAATCTACCGACTACTCAAAAGTAGTTGGAAAGACATCGAAAAACTCCATTTTCAACTATGTTCCGATCAATTTTGCAGTCGGCAAACAACAAACTTCTATTAGTGATAGGTCGTAACCTATGAAATATTGTCATATTTTTTGTGCTTTATTATGATCATTGAAAACAATTAGGTTAATATTTCTATTTAGCTATTTATGTTTTTAATCGAAATCAAACTTAATGATAATTTTATTTGCGGATTTCATTAACAAGTAGTAATACTAACACCATGTAATATTGCCTTGTCAATATTTAAGAAAAGAGGGTTGGCCCGGCAAAACCGTAATCCACGTATTTGTAGGCTGAGCTGACCATTTTCTGGCTCACACAAAATATGGGTTAGCCTGATCTGACCCGTCAAATTATAAAGCCTGTATGTGTTAGCTCGAATAGGTGGACTAACCCATATTGATAACTTCAATTTTTGCACAATAATAAACATTTATAAATTATTATACGTTACATAACAATAAAAAGATTTATAGCTCTCTTATTGCTTATAGTATTGAAACATTTTCAATAGAATTTTTGTTACATAAAATAGAAATAATTATTCTTAAAGTATTTCAAATTAAAATCAAGACTTCATTTCATTAAATATGCGAATTGGATTATCATTCTTTTACTTATATAATATTTTTAATTACAAAAATCATATTGTAGTGATTGCTATCTTTAGAAGTTCATTCAAATTAAGATGATGTTTTTTTTTAAAGAAAAATTAATTATTTGATAATCCAAGTAGTTTGAGATGAAATGTTTAATAAAACTTCTCAAAGAATTGAAGACAATCTACAAAGTCAATATTAAAACACGATTGATTCAAACAAAAATAAATTAAGAAATAACAAGTATTTGTAAATCTATTTGTCAACGATTTTTAATCATAATTATATTCCCTCCATACCGTGTGTATGCTTTTTTTGAAAATATGAATTTGACCAACATTCTTGTTCATTGATCAATTTGATTAATAAAAATAAATTAATTTATGTTTATTTATTTAAAACTTGATTTCAAAAAATAAAATATTACTATATCTATTTTTAATTATCACAATTTTTTTTAAAGTCAAACTATAAAAATATTGATTAGCATTACAATGTACTTCTCCATCGTATTGATATGAAATAGTTACAATTATAATATTATTATATAATTTTTAAATATTTAAATTTTTATATAAAATATTAAAATTATCTAATTTAACTATAAAAATTAGCCGGACCTTAAAAAATGTAACAGAATAAATAAGCCAGTTACTATCTAAAATGGTATACATATAAATTGAATTGAACTTTCTAATTAATAGTAATAACATTTTCTTCCAGTGTGCTACACGGTGCTTCTCACCATTTATACTCCATTTTACATCGCCTCCATCAGATCTGGTCGTCTCTTTTATGTATGTATCTCCTTCATCTTTTGTCTGCTCAGTGCTTTTGGTTCTTCCTTTAATCTTGTCTCTTGCTCGAATTGTGCATCTCCGGTATGTTTTTGCATTTGATCGAACTGAATTTGGGGGTTTCTTGATTCGTTGGAGGCTCTTATTTTTTGGGGTCTAAAGTCACTGCTTTAGTGGTTTTAGGGTTTTGATTTCATTGTCTTGCGCTCTAACTTTTAAGTAATCTTGAACTATGTCATTTGCAGATTCTTCCAAGAGGATTTTGGTCCACTATTCACTTCTTTTAGCATGGTAAAGTTTCACCAATTGCTTATTCTTGTTGGGCATATATTTCTTATGCACAAGTATATGTATGTGTAATGTAATTACCTATGTGTGATGAGTAATTGGCCTTTCAATTTCAACATCAGCTATATGTCCCACATTCATATATGCTGTTTAATTTAATCTGTATGCAATCTAAATGCATAATATGCCAACTTTTAAGACAAATGCCATAATTTATGCTCTTTGAAATGATTGGACTACTTCTTGCAGAATTACATTATTGGAGCGTTCAAGCCAGCATGCAACATCTCAATCACGTTTGGTGATGGAAAATCCCGCAAACAGGTAAGTTATCAGTCTCTTAGAACTGACCATGCATATAACACTTGTCAATAAAGATGATGCCTTTGGTGGATATTGGTGAAATAGTTTCAACAGTTACATATAGCAACTTTAGCTCATGAATGTGCTTATTAGTTTTATGATTTTTATTCTATTACCTGATCAGGAGCTTTAATCATAATAGTAGAAACACTTTTGTCTTCAGTCATGTTAGACAGCCAATTGGCAGAAATTTCTCAACATCAGCTTCACAACCTGGATGAGAACAAGTAGCTGAAATACATATTCTTTGGTTCGGCTTATATAGAAGCCTGTTGTTCCATGAAATATCCCCCCCCCCCCCCCTCTTTGATGATCAATATGCTGCTAATGATCGTGTTCCTTAATATAAATTAATCGATTGTGTATCAAAGCTCAACCTTGTTGCTTGCTGTCTATGAAATTTCATTTGATCTTGTACTATTGTTATACGACAAAACCTATCCCCCTCCGGCCCTCCCCTAAACAAGAAAAACTATTTTGCATGACATACAATGTAATTATCAGAAAAAAGGACATGACACCTCCTTGTTAAGATATTCAAAAATCATTAAACCACAAACCCAGTTTATACTTGTGCCAAAAGACAAAAAGTGACAGAAGATAATGTATGTATAATGTCTATGTGATGGAGAATATACCTTATTTAGTAACTTAAAGTCAGGGAATTGGATAGAGTTGTTCTTTAAAGGGAGTAGTATCAATTAGCATATTACATTTTCCATTATTGGGACACACCTCCAAAAATATTTAAAAGGAGAAGTTTAATATCAAAGTCCAGATCCGATGAATGCTGTAATTATGTGTCTAATTAGTGTAAAGCATATGTACTGTGTAACAAGATGTACTGCCTTAAAATATGCATGTAAATAAATGCAACCTATTTTTTTTTTTAAAATAAATTTATTTATAAGATCATACAGCTAAGTAATTGATAAAGATTGGGCACCTGCAAGAACTAGGAAAGTAGCAAAAACTCTTCAATACCCCCCAAATACAAGTCAACTAATCTCTAAGGTAAAAGTAACAGGAAATCCAACAATAAATCCAAGTGAAATGTTTTCTTTATAAGAAAATCCAAGCAACTACAAGTCGGCAGCAATAGGAATTATGCATTACTTCATATTCTTCTTAGGCCTCAACTGGTTGTTGTGTTCACACTTATTCTTGCGGCAACTGACAGCACGAGGATGCAACTGAGTATTGCACTTGCGGCATATAATCTTTTCCTGATTGTATACTATTTCCTAGCCAAAGCCGTCCGTCAACGATGACCCAATGATTCTCACCACAAAGTCTAGCACTAGATGTAGAGTTGATTTTTTCTGGATGCTGTAGTCCGCCAAGGTGCGGCCATCCTCGAGCTGCTTACCAGCAAAAATCAGCCTTTGCTGGTCTGGAGGGATTCCTTCTTTGTCTTGTATCTTGGCCTTAGCATTGTCGATAGTATTGCTGAATTCGACTTCCAGAGTAATGGTTTTACTGGTAGAGTTTTCACGAATATCTTGCTGGTCTGGAGGGATCCTTCTTTGTCTTGTATCTTGGCCTTAGCATTGTCGATAGTATTGCTGAATTCGACCTCCAGAGTAATGGTTTTACTGGTCAGAGTTTTCATGAATATCTGCATTTTCCTACTTCTCCTTGCAACCTACTTCACTTATCTGGAAAGTAAAAAATAGAAAAGAAAAAAAAATAGGTGCAACCTATCTCAACTGAAGAAGTGTCAAAACAAAATTGGAGACTTGTTGGGTTGGGCAGTTTGGAATGAAAGGGATTCAAGATGTTTTGAGAGCATAGAGAACGATGTGCATAAAGTTAAACTAAACTGCATTTTACTTTGTCTTTTGGTGTAATCAGTTATACTCTAATGACACAGTCTCTAATATTGATGTGTTAGACTCAATTTAGGCGTAGAGAAGTGAAATCAGGAGTACACTTGTATATAAGGTTACAGTACGGCGCATGTATTGTTTTGTGATATAATACAAAGTTTCCAAGTTCAAAATAAAATAAAATTGGAGACTTGTTGACTCTACAAGTTGACTGCTTTCTTGTTGTACTATTTTCTGTTAGGTCCCCTTGAAGAAGGAAAATGGTCAAACTGTTATGGTCCCACTTTTCCAAAGTCAAGAAAACATTGCTGGAAAGGTATTATTTATGTAGCATACTAATGATTCTGATGATACTCTTTATTTGTACTTGTAGAAAAGTATCTATTTGTTTCAGGACCTTTCTTTGAGAATATAGTTTCGTATGACTTCAGATTTCTGTAGAACCAGTATCAGGGAAGAAGGTTGAACATAATGGGATCAAAGTTGAGCTTCTTGGTCAGATAGGTGAGCTTTAACTTGTGACAATTTAAAACAGCTTTTATTACTCATGCATTGCAGTCTCGTGTCCTCGAATCAAGTGCACAGATTGCGAATGAAATTACATTGATCTTTTGTAATTTGAACTTCACATATCAATATGCCCAATCTTTCCGCTATCTGCTTTCTACTTTTTTCCTTTTCTGTCATTTAGGGTTCAAGGTGGGTTGGACTAAGGTAACCACTTTGTGTTACTGGCAATCTAAGCTAAGGTTACGGTGAAATTCTGTTTATCTGTAACATAGGCAGTACGCTTCTTGCAGTTCAACCTGAGAAATAAGTGCAGTTTTCAGTCCGTATGCTTATATCTTCATTGTCAGTTATCCTAAATTTCAATAAATAAGCTTGGCTATCTCCTTCTTTAACGGTTGCAATGTCATTTATGGTTATAATGTTCCAATATGTGTTTGGAACTAGTATGCCTTTCAGAAAAGGAAAAACTAGCTTTCCAATGTAGGTTTTAGAGGATGTTTGGATTGTCTTTTAAAAGCAGCTTATAAACTAAAAGCCATAAGTTGGGAATACCCAAATTTTAGCCTATTTTTTGTACTTTTTGGCCTAAAAGTAAGTGCTTAAATGCACATTTTTATCTTTCCCAAATACCACAAATATAGAAAGAGCATAAAAGCCAAAACACTTTAAAAATAAGCTAATCCAAACACCCTCTTAGTTTGATACTACTATTTCGTTCAGGTAAATATTTGGTTGCTGGTATAATTGTTCTGTGTATCTTCTTTTAACGGCTAAACTGCATTGGACAATTTGAACATCTGCTTGACTTATCCAAAAAGGAAAGTAAAGCTTCCTTCTTGCAGCTTCTCACTTGTACGTTCATGTTTCCTTTGCTATAAATTTTTAGTTCAGATACATGTGTGGTTATTTGTTGGTATAATTGTTTCGTTTTTAGTCCTTATCTTTCTATGCAGCAATCTACTTGTTGCATATCTGTGGTTTTCTAACTCTTTTTTCCTGATACTCCTGCAATGGAGAATTAATTCATGTTGCAATATTTTTCTTGTGCAGAAATGTACTTTGACAGGGGGAACTTTTACGACTTCACCTCCCTTGGTGAGTATTTCATACATGATGCAAGTGGAGACTGAAGAGATAATTTATTCCTTAGCTGGGTGAACCTGTAAAAACATGCTGTACTGGTTTTCTTGTTTAAATTTAACTGTTCTGACTTATGAGCTACTGTCAGGTCAGATTATGTTAAGTTTATAGTGTGTATGGGTATTGTAGTATGTTGATTTTTCTGTGAGTTTCCATATTTCCTGTTCATGGGACCTAGATGAGTAGTCTAATGTTTCTCTTTTCTTCTCACTTTACTTGTGTTAGGAGTTGACTTATAAGCTGTAGACCCAATTTCATTTAACTTCAGATTTAGCTGGACTTGGAAATTTTTTTCAGGTTCTCAATATTTTAGTTGCTTCATAGTAGAGAATGTAGAATCAGGATTAATTTCTATTATTTTTGCATAGCCACTTTTGTTCTTAGGTTCTTTATACAGCATTCCTTTAGTGGTTTTTCCCAGGAAATTTAGTTGAGGTTGCTAGACTCTCTTTCCCCTATTTCATCTACTGCTGTTCTAACGAACATTACAGCATTGTCGTGGTGCCAGGCTGCCCTGTTCATTCTTTTGCTTAAACCTTTCCCTTTGTTCTAGTTATCCATTGTTCAGAGACACAACTGTTTCAGAGACCCCAAAAAATTTGATGTTCTTCCATTGGCAATTGTTGCATGTTTATTTCTGAAGTTGTGCTACTTGTCTTTGCTGGACTGCAATACGTTGGTCATTATCAGTTTGAGCTGTTGTTTAGGGGGTATGTAAGTTTGGTATTGGTGGGTATGCTATTTAGGTGCTACAAGTTGTTTGAAATAGAATACTCAGATCTACTGCTTCGACATCCATTTAGAATTATACTTCTCAAACTTTTGTTATGGTTCTTGTTTGTCACTGGTTTTCTTTCCTCGTATTGCTTCATTTACTCCATTTAATGTTTATCCTTGTAGTCCGAGAACTGGATGTTCCTGGTGAAATTTATGAAAGGAAAACATATCCTTTTGAGTTTTCAACTGTTGAAATGCCCTATGAAACATATAATGGGGTTAATGTTCGACTTAGGTAAGTTTCTTTTGTTTTCGAACATTGCAGCGTATATATGATACTTTTATCTATACTGTTTTTTCCTTGCTTTGTTTTGATGAAGTGACGATATAGTTGTTTGTTTCCTCCATCGAGATTCATTTCGTACTCTACATAGATTTGAATCTAGACTGGTGATCATTCCTCTAAGCTTGGGCATTATACTTCCTGATTTATTTGTCCCAGTTTTGCATTTTGGATTAATTTTTATGAAAATTATCAATTAATTGAAGCTACAGTTATTTGTTATCTAAACAGATTGCAGAGTTTTTCTGATATCTAAAGTTGCATTTTCCATCCTTTTTTTCCCCAAGGGAACGGCTTTTTTATTGCTACCGGAAGAAAATTACAATTGAGGAAGGAGGGCAAACCTATCCTTCCTAAGAGATTTGTTACATTAGTAAACCAAACATATGGATGAGCAAAAAAATAAAATAAAAAATTTAGCAACTAAACATCCAACAACTCTAAAGGGGAGAGAGGATCATGGGGGATTATAGATCCAAAAACTCGAGTTACATTTCTTGGCTCTAAACGAAGGAAATTTCCATCTGTCCATGTTGAGAAGACCTTTAACTATTCCTGGAATGGCATTGAATTGGGAATATATTTGTGCATTGGTAGGATTATGGCTTAGGGATGCTAGTCTGTCCGCAACTTTGTAATCCTCCCTCCAAGTTGCATTTTCTATCTTGCTATCATATAAGAAGAGTGTTGACTTGTTGGAGGATCTCTGTGACATGATCAAACAGATTATACCATTGGTGACTACAGGGAAAGTTGGTGGCTAGCTGATTATCTATTCTTTCCCAGAGAAATTATGGTCCATATGGATAATATGGCTGTGTCAATCAAATTATGCAAGTTGAGGTGATATGAAGTCGAATCATGTAATTATTTTCAGAAGAAAAGCTTCTCGTATTCTCTCTTAGAAAATAGAAATCATGTTATATTGTGTTTGACAGGACAAATACAAGCATATGAATGGGGATAGCGTATTATGTTTGAAGTACTCCCTTAAGCTAAAGGTGATAACCAGACTAAACTTTCCTCATTAATTTGTCTCGAGTTAATTAACGAATCAGAATATTAGGGAATGCCCATCTTACTCTTGCGATAAGATATATGGCCACTAAAGTTAAGGTATTAAATACAAAAGAGAAAAGCACTCCAACTTTGTTTCTTAAATTTCTGATTTGTACCTCTCCTTTATCATTACTCTTTCTCCAACCTATTAGTTTTAGCCACCCTTTTGTGTCCCTTGCCCTTGGTCATGTTTTCACCCTTATACAATTCAACTTAGCCCCCCCCCCTCCCCCCTCCCCCCACCCCCCAACCATTTTGGGGGATAGGAGAGAGTAAAATTTTACTGTCAAGAACAGCATTACTTGGTACTAACTCATTTAAAATTTCTCTGGACCAGCTCATGTAGACAGTTTAGGAGTCTAGAAAGTTTAATCCATTTGCAAATTCACCTACAATAGTCCTACTGCCCAGGAGTTCACATTTTGTAGACATCTAAATTATACAAAATATAAGGACAAACCTCTATTCTCAATATCTCAGCTTTTACAGAATCCTTCTTCCTTTCCATTAGTCAATACAGTTGCACAGGCTGGTAGAACGTTTGCTTTCCAGCAAAAATGAAGAATGCAGACAATAGAGAGACTTTGATGATTGAACTTACATTTCTCTTCCATATATTAGTCTTAAGTTAGCTTTGTAACTAGATCACTATGAACAAGCAGATTGGAAGAAATAGATTTTAGCTGCGAACAAACGTAGCAGCTCGGTCTTAGATGACAAAAATCTAATGGAACCCACATATATACATATATATGATTTGAGGGATGAGAGACGAAATTGAGTGGAAGGACCAAAAAGTGATCAAAGTTGGTAAATTAAACATCAATGAGTTTTGCAGAGCACAAGTTCTAGTGAGAAATCAGATCTTCTCTCTCTAACTAGCTTCTTTCTCTAAGAAGCGAATTTTTCAAAATCTCCCATTTGCTTATGTCTGCTTCTTTGTTCTATATCCTTAGATAATAATTAGAATCAGAGTAACTCAGCCATGAAAGTATTTGCTCTTCAATGACTCTTCGATAACACCAAACTGTCAATGGAACTGTCTGGTAACCTTATTTTTTTGGTGTAAACAGAACTGCATAGAGGAAATAGAGGAGTTTGTAGAATTTCTAGTAGCTTTGTAAAGCTGGAGTCTACTTTCTTCATAACAATTTTTGATGGTGGCTAGCATTCTCAATGCTGAAGATAACAGTACTATCAAAACTAAGTTGAAGTTGCTGCAGATGTGACTAAGAAGCAACAATGTGCCAATGGCTCCATAGAAGCACCCTAGAGAGATATTTTGGAAAGATGATAATGCCCAACTTCATTTCTGACAGAATGTACTTGAATATATACACATTACCAGTTCCTTATACAATTGTCAATTAGCTGTCACTAATCTAATCCACTAACTACTTAACTAACTGTGTAACAAACTAACGCTAGCAGTCTAGCACTAACTAGTTATGCTGACTCAGCATGTATATACAGATAAGTAAATTTCAATACCTCCCCTCAAGTTGGAGGTGTGCTCTTCACATCTAACTTGCCAAGTACAACTGAATGTCTGAGGCCTGTTAAGGCCTTAGTAAAAACATTTGCTAGTTGATCAGTTGTGGCCACATGATGCAAGGGCACAAGACCCTCATGAAGGTTATTGCGCACAAAATGATAGTCCACTTATATGTTCTTAGTCCTCTCATGGAACACAAGGTTCCTGGCGATGTGAATGGCAGACTGGCTGTCACAATATACTACATATGGTTTAGGAGATGACACAGTCAGTTCTTCAAAAACTCTGCTCAACTAAACCTACTCATGTACAAGCTTACTGAAGGACCTGAATCTGCCTTGGCTGAAGATAAGTAGACAATTTCTTGTCTTGGATCTCCCGCTGACAGGGCTATTGCCAACCAAGACAATGTAACCTGAAATAGATCTTCTGGAATTTGGATAAGCTGCCACTCAGAATCACAGCCTGACAGTGCAATCTAGACTAATTGAAAGGAGGATCCCTCAGCAAATGAAAAGCTGCTTGTAAGTGAGGTTCTCTGGGATCCTGCATAAACTGGCTCAAATGTTGTCCACCATAAGATATATCTAACCTGGTGTTTGTGAGGAAATTAAGCTTCCCCACCAATTTCCTATAGTTAGCAGGATCTGAAATAGGTGACCTCCTTAGCCTTTGTTTCAGTTTGGGATCAAGAGGAGAATTGATACAGGGACAGTCAATACAATCATATTCTTTCAGAAGATCTAAAGCAAACTTTCTCTGGGAAATGATGGTCCCATCATCTGTATACAACACTTCTAATCCCAAAAAGTAGCAAAGTCTGCCCAAATCCTAAGTTTTGTACAGATCATTTAAGAATTCTTTTGAAGCTATGATCTCCTAACATTATTTACATAAACGGCCACAAAAGCAATGATGGATGTCTTGGACTTCTTGTGAAATAGAGAGTATTTATTGACTGTGTGAACATATCCTCTGGAGTATAAGTCTTCCGTGAGTTTCTCATACCATTGTCTACTAGCCTTCTTTAAACCATATAAGGATTTGTTTAACCTGCATACCATGCCTGTAGTGTCAAGAACAAGGCCATAGGTGCTTCCATATACACTTGTACATGTAAGTCCCCATGAAAAAGAACATTGTATACATCAAGTTGAGAGATTTCCCAACCCTTTTTTACAACAATGGCAATCAAAGACCTGGCATCTGTCATCTTTACAACCATGGAAAAAAGTTTGTGTAGTCTATCCCTGCTTGTTGAGTGTATCCCTTTACTACTAAATTAGCCTTAGACCTCTCATGGTGCCATCTGCTTTATGTTTCACTTTGTAGATCCACCTGCAACCTATGGCTTTCTTGCCTGTTGGTAGGAGAACTAAGTCCCAAGTGTGATTTGCATACAAGGCTTTAAACTCCTGAGTCATGGCTGTTTGTCAAGCAGGATTAAGAGCTGCTACCTTATAAGAAGAAGGTTCACTATGGTGGCGCACATTTTGTAACAAAACTTGACTATCAGATGTTAAGCCATTAGGGTTGAGGTTCTAATTTTGTAAAAACAGAGCACTTAAGGAGAGGGATATGGTGTGCTGGTTGGTAGTTTTGGTAGGGCAATGATAGTTAAGCAGGGGTTGTATGATTTCTACTAGACTTTCTTAGGACATGCGTTTCATTAATGAGGTTTGGAATGTGGTCTTGGGTGTCCCAGTGGAATGTACCACATTGTCATATGAATGTACAGTGTGAAGAATTAGTGTTTGTGATACTTAGACTTTCTTGGTCACTTGAATGAGGTGCAAGCACAAACATATCATCATTATTAATAGGATGGGAAGGAGGATTTGAATGATGAACAAGAATTGAACTCAAGGACTTGGAAATCAAATTAAATAAAGCTTCCGCGAGCAAATGCAAATGGAAAAACATTCTCATGAAACATCACATCTCTCGAAATATTTGTCCTTTTAGTATCTAGGCTCAGTGTCTTGTATCATTTTGTTCAAATGGGTAACCAACGAAAATGTGAGGTGTTGTCGTAGGTTCGAATCTGTTTTTGTGGACTTTTGGTATTGTTGGGTAGCAAAGGCATCCAAAACTTTTCAAAGAGGAATAAAGAGGTTTTCTCCCATAGATGACTTGAAAGGGACATTTATCCTTCAGATGGGTAGTAGGAAGTCTATTTATGTATGAGTGGCTATCAAAATGCACTCTCCCCAATAAGGCTAAATGTGATTGGAACATTAGGGCCTTGTGTTATGAATCTTTATGGAAGTATTGATTCACATGGTGATATATAAATTCAGCTTGTTAAAGGGAGACTGAAACCTTAGAGTTCATTAAAAAACAGAGCTTTGATCTCTTCAGCTCTCAAAGGGAGACTGAAACCTTAGAGTTCAATGGAAGAGAACTCTAGTCTCTTGCTTTTTGCTGAAATATGATTTTCTGATTTATTCATCGAAATTCTTTTTAAGTCGGAGTCTTATTACATCAATATGAAGCATAATTCTTATGAAAGTAGGAGACCTAGCCTATTCCAAACTCATAACTAAAGCTGAACCTAATCCTTATGAAACTTTGAAACATAAACTCCATTCTAGAATAATAAATAAAGTTACTTAAATAACAAATAAATCTACTTAAAAATATAATTAAATACTTAAATTAATTGACTTCCTCGCATCCACAACACCTTGGCTGTCTCAAGCAAGTATTTATTTACTTTCACTCACACTATTTTGTTGTGGGGCGTAAGGACAAGACCTTTGATGGACAATGCATTTTGATAAAAAGAAAGAAGTAGCTTCATTGTCTACAAATTCAAGACCATTGTCTGATCTGATATTTTTCAAGGTGGTGCTAAACTGATTTTCAATCATGTAAAGGGAAGTCTTGATCACTTGTAGAGCATTGCTCTTACAACTTAACAATTGTGTCCATGTCGATCTGCTATGGTCATCCACCATGGTGATGGAATCTTTGTAGTTATCATGAGTAGGCACATGGTAAATTTTACAGTATTTTAGTGCAAACCATCTCCAACCCACTACACTAAATTGTACACTAAAAAGGAATATTTTCTTTATATTCTTCTTTCATTATTATTATATTGTTATACTTTTATTATATATTTTCAAAAGTTTTATATAGTATGAATAATAATAAAATAATCAAAAAAAGATACAAAAATTTGGTGCAACACTATTTACACACTAAAATAGCGTAAGAATTAGTGTTGGGTCGTAGCACCAAAACACCGAATTTTACACCAAAATATGGTTGTGTTTGGGTTGGAGATGGTCTTATACAATTGTCAATTAGCTGTCACTAATCTAATTCAATAGTTAGTTAATTGTGTAACAGACAAACATTAGTACTAACTAGTTCTAGCTATAACTACTTATGCTGACTCAACATGTATATACAGATAAGTAAATCTCAATGATACCAATTCTGAAAAAATCACACCAAACTGTCAATAGTAGTATCTCTTTGCAGTGATGTAGCTACCTTTGATATTCAAGGTTTTCCTATTTCTGCAACTAATATCTTGTTGTCCAAGCATTACAAAACCCAATTGAACAATTGTCCTAGCCATGCTTAGGATTCACTCTGATGTAGCCCTGGATCCATCTAGTCCATATGGGCTCTTTCCTTGTTTAACTCAACTCTATCGTCAAAATTTCCTTTGAAGATGGATAGTCCTTTGTAAGGTATTGATGCGATTTCTATAGGAAAGCTAGATGAGTGAGTGTAGCGTGCATAGTGTGATCTGTAGAATAATATATATTTTGGAGTCAGGTATTATATACTCCTTTCGTCCTGATTTATGTGAAAATATTTTATTAGGCACACAGTTCAAGAGAAAAGGGAAGTTTTTTGAAATTTGTGGTCTAAAACTAGTCATCGAAATTTCTACGCTATAAACCTTCTCATTAGGGGTAATATTGTAAGTTTAAAGTAAAATTAATATTCAATATAGAAAAATGTCATTATTTTTGGGATTGACTAAAATAGGATAGAGTGTCACATATATTGGGATATCCAGAGTAATGAGCACTAGTGATTTAAAATTCTCAATGTAGGAGTGATTTCCATGTCTTTATCCAATGGATGTATCTTTCAAAGATCGGTTGAAAATTGGGATTAGGATGAAGTGGAGCACCTTCTTTTGAAAGTTTATAGTGCTGACATCATGTAGTTATAAAATGGTATGGAAGGACATGCCATAAGATCTCAAGTCTCATTTGTTTGTACTTAATGGAGGTTTGAATATGAATGGTTCACACCTTAGGCCATTAAGTGCATTTGTTTTAGTAGGATTTAAGCATTTAATTAGGTTTTTTTTTGGATCGACTTTCTTTAAGTAACTTATAAGCTAAAAGCTAAAAGCCATAAGTTGGTCATACCCAAGTTTATACTTTTTAGCTTATTTTTGTACTTTTTTGGCCTAAAAGTAGGTGCTTAAAAAATTGTCTTTCCCAAACACATCCAAATATAAAAGAGCTCAAAAGCCAAAACCTATTTAAAATAAGTCAATTTAAACACCACCCCCTGGGTCTTTATCAACCACAATCGCCATCACCATTGTCAACCACCATTATCTCGTCAACCATCTCTGTCATCACAACCACCACTAACAAGTAACAACCACCGTCATTGCCAACCACTACTGTAAGCCATTACCACACAAACCTATCACTTCCATCATTATAATTATATCCATTGCCGCCACCTTCGTGACCATCGCCACCTATACCACCACTACGTCCAATCCCTACTACCAACTAACTTTGCCATCTTAGCTAGTATGGTAGTACCGCAGCCAAATACCACTATCACATCATCAGCCACCACACATTCTTTGATCACCAACATAGTCGCTGTCGCCACCACCTCCACCACCACTTTCAAATACTACCACCACTGTGATCAATCCCTGATGTCAACCACATCCACCATCACAACTAGCACCGCTTCCAACTGCCACTTCATTGCCAATCACCACATTTTTAGGCTTTACCATCAACACCACCAACCAATTTCACCATCATAACCATTGCCTAATTGATTAAGGAGAGAAAATAGTTGAATGAAGATGAGAATGAAAATTGGAGATGATAGAGTGAGGTAGGAAGGAAAAGAAGTAAAAGAGGTATGAAACATTTCATTTTGTGCCTTGCATCCAAGGGTGTGGCTGAGTGGTCAATGAGGTGGAGGAGAACTGTGAGTTTAGCCTTGTGATTTTATCCCATTTGTCTAAGCTTGGTGGGCAGAGTTACCCAATGCTTATGCTGGTGGGTGTTAGCAGGTAAACCGGTGGATTAAGTCGAGGCATTCACAAGTTTCTCTTGACATCATTGTCACTAGGAAAAAGAATCTTTTTATGCCTTAAACCCAAGTGTAAGAAGAAGTTTTTTTATTTTGAGAAGGTGCATTTTGCATCATTTTCTGCTATGTTCTTTCCCTCATCTTTAGAAAGATTGTTTTCATTTTCTTATAAATAAGCTAATTTTATCAGAATTTTCATTTTGGAATAGGAATCTTTTCCTCAAATTCACCTATAATTGGATGCTTTGAGTAGTTATTAAATGTCTATATCCTAGGCATCTGATAATGTTTGAACTTTGAACATTGACTGAACTTGTCAGTGTATGTTAAACCTGTTCTTTCATTAATCTTCATTTACTGTTTCCCTCAGCATCTCTCTTTCTTTACATGGAATCAAGAAAGTTTTGTTTGGTCATCATTAAAGATAGAGCTAATTCGTACCTCAAATGTATGAAAGTGAGGAGTTTACTTTTTAAAAGACTTGTATTAGCCAGAAGAAGATGAAGGAACAGTTAATTAACCAGAAAGAGAAAAGGTGGGCTATAATTCTACCTTTTTTATTGAGGTCTTGAAAAGGGGTGACGTAAATTTTTAAAGAACTGAATGGAAGATAGAACTAATATTGAGGGAGGTATTCTGAAATTAAATCACGGTGGATTGAACCAAAGAATGGCCATTCTATTTGTGTAGTGTAGGTGTGCCAATTATGTTATCTAATTTGTTGTTCCTGGTAGTCCATGTTCACATGTACTGGCTGAAATGTTTGTCTTGTCAGTATCTTGATAGATCTTATGCCAGATTACTAACAATAATTTTCTGGGATTTTGTGCTGGCTTTAGGTATATCCTTAAAATTACTATCAGCCGTGGTTATGCTGGTAGCATAGTTGAATATCAAGACTTCGTGGTAACATTCTCTTTCTTCATTTCATATATTGTCAATCTTAAATAGTCGACATACCTCATGATGTCCTAATTACATATGTTTCTTTCTTTCCATTTCTTGAATTTTTGGAGTTACTAAATCAATCTTGTGTTCTTGGTGGTTTTATCAAAAAAAGAAAAGAAAAGAAAGTATATAGATACTGGTTATGTTGTTGTTCTTGGTATCTTTATCGAACATACCACCCTTTTAATAGCCTACGCTCACCACTCATTTAGTGTAGCACAGAATTTGATCATCTATTCTAGTAGCCTTTACCTCTTTCCTTTGAATATTAAGGGCATTCAGAATTCATCCTTCATCACAAAGAAAAAAGAGCTAGGGCATTTTGGTGGAACCACCAAAAAGAAAAAAAAATCGGGAGAAGCAGGGTTGGATATCAGATAATTGTTTCTGCATCTCAATTTCTTTTTCTAGTTAGTTTCCAATTTAAATCTGTTTCATGAAGATCTCGAGTATAACTATATTGAGTATTTGCTAAGATATTTATCTGACTTCTTTGAATCAGGTGCGCAACTATAGCCCGCCTCCATCAATCAACAATAGTATTAAGGTAATATTCCTTTTTAATGTTTTCTACATTACATGTAGCATTGTCACAGAAACATTAAAAGGAAAGTAATTTAAACAGCTTGCTGGGTTGGGTGTAAATGACTCAAAAGTTTGACTAATGGTCATGGTACTTGTAACAAAAAGGCTGACATGGTGATTATATTGAGACATTTAGATCTGAGGAGAATTGCACTGCTATGGGTGCTTATCATTTTCTATTGTTTAAACTTGCAGATGGAAGTTGGTATTGAAGATTGCCTCCATATTGAGTTTGAGTACAACAAAAGCAAGTGAGTAAAATGTTCAAAATATATTGTGTTTGGATTTTCACTCTAACCACCGTCTCAATTATTACAATGTTGCAATCTTTACTGAAGTGAACTAACTCCTGGTTTTAGTTTTGCTTTAGCATGAGCGGAACAGCTTTGATTTAGTTAGTGTGTGTGTTTGTGCGCGCTTTGATCCTGAAAAAAAAGCATGTTCTGTATATGTTGGTTGTCTTTTCTTTTTGGGGCATGGAAGCATCTATTGATTGTAAATGCCTTTTCTAATGTGCATTATAATTCATAACAGGTATCACCTGAAAGATGTTATCATAGGAAAAATATATTTTCTCCTTGTAAGAATTAAGATAAAGAACATGGATCTTGAGATTAGACGCCGAGAATCGACAGGTTCTGGGGCAAATACCCATGTTGAAACAGAGACGCTGGCCAAGTTTGAGTTGATGGATGGTGCTCCAGTCAGAGGTATACTCCGTCATCTTTTAGTAGTTGAGCAGTCATCTTCTTCGTTGACGTGTGGTTATATCTTGTTGATATTTGTGCTTGATTGGCAGGTGAATCAATACCCATTAGACTCTTCCTTAGTCCATATGAGCTGACACCAACATACCGCAATATCAACAACAAATTTAGTGTGAAATACTATTTGAATCTTGTTCTTGTTGACGAAGAGGACCGTCGGTACTTCAAACAGCAAGAGATCACGATGTTTCGCCTGGAAGAAACTTCCTGAATGAATGAAGAGATATTGGCACTTGCTATTCTGCATCTATCTTTGTATTCTGTGATATTCTGTATGCGAGTGAGATGGCCAGTCCCCAAAGGTGCTAGAATGTCTTTTTAATTGGTAGATTGCGACATCTGGGAGAAGATACTTGCAATTTGTATAGAGTAGGCAGTTGTGTACATGAATATTGGAGTGGAAATTTCTAGTTGATGTTTTGAAATACATGGGGAAGGGACAAGTGATCAAGTTAAGCAGCAATAAGGAACCTACTTTAGCTCGTACTCTTTGATGAATTTGATATTTTGATCTTGATTGCTTCTAATTTTTTGGTTGTCTTGTTGTTTCCTTGCTTTTTTTCCCGATAATTGCATGATTAACTTCTCCGGTGAATTATGAGAACAACCATTGACCATCTTAATTTTGTCAGCGTTTCATATTCATCCCCAAATTTCTTCTCTTTTTGGTCCCCTCTTTAGCTTCCTCTGCCCAATATTATCTTCTCTTATTGTCGGAGGTAGGAGCATAATTTTTGTTTTTTCATAATAACATTCGCGAGTGGTACGGGTGCTTGAAGTTGATGTGAGATTGAAAATAATACCACATTTCTCTGCAAATTAGGTCAACATGTTGTTACTTCTCTCTGTGCACAATTGAACTGATTGAGCCTTTTAACAAAGCTATTGTTCATATTGTCATATTTACAAAGCATATATCTGCTATCTTCATTTGTGCTTGGATTTTGTGTTGGGAGGATTAAGCTAAATGGCATTTAGTAAATTCTATTAAGATGTAAGGAGCTTTCTACACGCTGGACAATTTATTGAAGATATTTTAAACCAATATCTTTTATAATAGAAGTATGAAGAAATAATGTCTAAGGCCTAGCCAGAGTGTAAGAAGAAATAATGTATAAGATTATCCTTTTATGACTTCCACATCATGTAGAGGGGGCATGCATTCAACTTAATTGATGGGTCGATTTTGTGCACTGATATGTACCTTAATCTCTCATATTTTGATTGAAATTTATTTCTGAATGATTGTTGTGTATCTACTTCTCTTTTGCATTTTAATTTAGCTTTTGCAATGAGCGAGAATTATATGACTATTTTATATATGGAAAAGGGCTAAAAAATTCTTAAACTATTGGAAATGGTATAAAATTGTCCTCTATCTACCTGTTGACTCTTAAATACCCTTGATATCCATCTATTGACTACCTCTACCTATCGACTCCCAAATACTCTTCCATCCACCTTTGAGTCTAATATTGTCCACTTTTATAGCGGATTCATTTGAATAATTTTTAAAAATATCTAGCGACCATCTATTGACTACAATTTAATTACTTCAATTAATTTACAAACTCATCCATTATATCTGATCCAAATGACTTCAATTGACTCAAGTTAACTATATCCCACCCAAATTAACTACATCCGCCCCAAATTACATTTACCCCACCGGTTAAAACAAATACACCTTCATTCTCAACATTTCACTCTCTCTTTCAACCTTACTTCCCAAGTATATTCACTTACAATCTCAAAAATACTACCTAAATAAACTTATGTATCACCGTAAAAAATCATGAGTGTTTTGACTATTTTTTATGGTGATTAGGTATTATTTTTTGAGATTGTAGGCGAATATGTATTTGTTTTAACTGTGGGTAAATATAATTTGGAACGTGCGTAATTAATTAATTTGGCCCAGGTGTGATTAATTTTGATAGTGTATAATCAATAATGAGTGAGTCTATAAATTAATTTAAGTAATTAAATTGTATTCAATAGTTGGTCGCCACATATTTTAAAAATATTTAAATGATTATATGTTATAAAAATGGTCAATATTGGGCCCAAAGATGGATGACAAGATATTTGGGAGCCAACTGGTGTATGACAGAGATATTTGAGAGTTACTAAATGGATGAAAGATAATTAATTTTATATCATTTCTAATAACTTAAGAATATTTTAGGCCTTTTTCCGTTTTATGTATACTAATTACATGGGTAATATTATTGTAAACAAGAAAGTACTAGCTTAGATTCTGCTGTGAATTTCAATTCCTCTGACTACGATGTTCAAATCTTTGTGCTATAAATCCAAATGCTTAAAAAGCAAACTAATGACTTGTAGATGCAGGTATAGGAGGAACATAATGTTATTATTTAATTTTTTAATTATGAATTTTAACCATACATGTTGAAACACGATGTTTCTTTTTTAGTAGTAACGTAAAGTAAAGTTATAATAAGAACATATTAGTG